AACAAAAGCTCAAGAACCCGAGTGTTCAAACCCTTTTAGGTTTCTAGGACTAGCCAACGAGCAGATGCAAACCAACAAACTTGAGTTTGCTCGAGCTATTAGAAACTAACTTAGTAAGATAGGAATATCTTCCGAAAGTACCTCTAGCGAGATAGCTCCCGAGACTCCCCAATTAAATAGCGTGAATATTTTAGACCAAAAATCAAAGACAGAATATGTCTACGAAATTAATAAGTTTCATAGGCCAAACCCATTACCTATTATTACAGCTCCTAACATAGAAAAAATGCTAAAACAAGTTAGTGTTTTAACTAAAGACCAAGACCTTCTCTTAGACATTGTTAAAAAGATAGAGGATCCTACATTATAAAAAGAATACCTAGACAAACTCTTAAAGTCCGTAGAAGAAAAACCTTGTGCAAAACCAAAACCTTCTATCTTGCCTTCTACTAGTACTAGCACGTATGACCTTACCGTTATTCTAGGTAGGAAGAAGAACACTAAAAAACCCTTGACTTCAATTCGGGACCTTCGGTTCGAGATTAAAGTCATCAAAACCGAGCTCAAAGAGCTTAAGGAAAGACAAACCAAAGACTCCGAGTCTCTTAAAAACTTTGCTTGAAAAACGAGCGGAAAAAGAGTCAAAATCGACTGCGAAAACCTTGACGAAAACCAAGAGTTGCCAAACTTGAGAACTCGGAACACGTTCTAGAGGATTTCCGTTTGTACTTCGTGAAGTTACTTCTAGGAAATATTTAATTAAGGTTACTCTTGTGTTTCAAAATGATTTCAAAATTGATATGATTACCTTGTTTGATACTCGGTGCTGATTTGAATTTTATTAAACAAAGCATTGTTCTAAAATGTTTTCATGTTCAAACCAATGAACGTCTTTCTGCAGACAAACAATTTCAAAATGACCATACATGGTAAGACGAAGCCTCAATGGTCAATGAAAGTATTATGATCAAAAATTATTTTCACGTTGATTGATAATATGCATCATATGGTGATCTTAAGAACACCCTTCATTAATTTGATTACTCTATGTTACGTAAAGCATGATTGTATATCATTCAAAAATAGAAATACAAAACTTGTTTTCCCATTTCTAGAAAAACCTAGAACTAGGAATCTTAATATTATCAAAGCATGTTCCATTTATAACTTTGAATTACACGCTCCGATTGCTAGAAAACAATACCTTCCTCTTACAAAACAAAAATAAAAGTCATTCATGGTTATTATATTTCGATCGCAATATTGCCACGGATACTATCCCCATGTGGTTTTTTTAATGGTGGTTTTTCTATGGTTCTATTCAAGAAATACTTACACCAAGTGTTTCGAAAGTTTTAAAATCTTCAAAACCAATTTTACACCTACTAAGAGTGAAAAAAGATTCACACCTTTTTTCCTTTTCGGTACCAAATTCTTCCCGCCCCGAATGCGTTCTTGGTTCTATAACTCCGGATATCAAGAAATATTCCACCATAACCTAAGTCCGAAGCATCGGTTTCTACAACCTTTGGTAAGAAAGGATCAGCTAGGTGAAGGCAAGGGATTTCAAGGACTCGTTTCTTAATGTGTTGGACAAACCGAGTATGTTCATCGGACCGAGGGATAGGCTTTTTCTTTAACCTATCATGTAAAGGTTTGCAATACGATTAATGTTTGGACGAAATCTAAAACATAATTCAAACTTCCTAAGAATCTTTGTAGACTGGGTTTTGTCAAGAATCTTATCGGGAAATTTGTTGGCAAATTCTAAAGATCGTTCTATTGGGGTAATGGTGCCTTGGGTAATGTAATGACCCAAAAACGAATCCTCGGTTTGAAAAAGAGAAATCTTGGATTTGGAAACTACCAATCCATTCTTTTGTGCAACATGAAAAAAAGTTTATGGTTTATAGATTTTGTGTCTAGATCATGTTACGGAGCTAGGGTAGACCATCGGTTCGGTGTGGCAGTAGTAAGTCCCGACGGATAGGGCCGTAAAGCCGAGGAATCACAACCAAGTATACCCAAACCTCCAAACCATAGTCTAGGTATGGATTCTATGTTCCGTAGATCTACTTCCTTTTCGCATCTTCTCGCTTCGATTCTTCCGATTTGAAGAAGATAATCAATAGTGTGTAATATGTTATAGAAGATTTTGAAAAACAAATTGATGATTGGGAAATATCCCATATTCACAAAGATAAGATTTACAAAACTTCAAAATATAGTCTTTTCAAAACAGATTTTACAATCAAAACCGAGGAGAGGGATATTTAGCTTTTGAAGCCCTTTGAAACAATTCATCTCCTTTCTTCAAAATCTCTTCAAAAACATAAAGACAAAAATTTTAAGTATATTCATATCGGTTTAGTCCAAGTGGGAACTAAACCACTTACAAAAGAAGGATTGAACACCTCAATCCTAGCAGGTCTTAGAGACAATAGGTTTATAAATTTTCAAGACTCTCTCGCTTAGTTCAATTCAATCTAGTTTATGCGAGTGGACTATATATATATATATATATAATGAATTTTTAGAATATATTTTTTGCTCTTAAATTTTTTTGTTATAATTTATATAATTAATTATTTGAATTTTTAGATGAAAAAAGCATGATATATGTATGTATGTCCTTATATAGATTAAAAGTGTTTTTTAGATAATTTGTCCAAGATTTTTTTGAACAATAATTATAAAAAAAAGTTTTTTGTTAAGAATCTATGGATTTTTGAATTTTTTCACAATTTTTTAAGTTAAGAATATGGATATAAAAAAATAAATCGTGTTCTTTTTAGCAAAAAAAAAAAATTATGAAAAAACATAATGAATAATTAGTTAAACGCAAAATTAAAAAATATAATTTTGATTCGATATATTTTAATAAATTTATAATATAATACGTATCATTAAACTGAAATTATTTTTTAAAATGATTTTACATTTTATGTACACTCGTGGGTAAAAATCTAGTTATAAGTAAAACTAAAAAAAGGTGGGGGTGAAGTTGTTTATAGCCTGTTCACCTCATGTATTTACGTGTATAAATTTATTTTTTTTTATGAATCTTGTTGCCTTTTATTCAACCAAGACTATGCCCTCTCATTCTCACCTTAATTTCTTTCTTGCCATTAGGTGTTGGTATGAGGTTACGAGTTTGCCCTTGCTTTTGCCTTTCCTCCCACTTATGTGGTGCCTTTTTTTGTCATTTGTTGATGGATTTTGTGTAGCATTTAATGCTTTCCAGTCATGCTTTCTGTTGAGATTTCTTACTCAATCCCTTTTTATCCTCAGTTCAATTTTTGCCTTCCTATTGGGTACTGTGTGGTGATTCTAAATAACACTAAAAAATATAGGATTTTTACTATTTTTATACTTTTCACACATTCACATAATACTATTCACTTGATGGCATTTTTATAATTTTAAGAAAGTGATATCTTCGTTATTTTAAGTGTTTTTGTTGGCATTTATTTAATTCATAACACTATTTACACACCTTTTAATTTAATTTTAATTTTTGTAATTTTGAGGTTTTTTTCAACCATTTTATATGTAAAATTTTGCTCATATTATTCTTTCATCCTTCATTTTTCAATTTTTTTTTATCCGTAACTTTATTTGTATTATAATTTAGTCCCTAGTCTGCTAAGAGGAAAGAGAAATAAAGAGAGAAGAGGAAGGAGAGAGATCTATGTATGGATTTTTTAATTAATTTTTAGAATATTGTTATTTGCTCTTAAAAAATTCATATAATTTATATAACAAATTCATTTAACTTTTAAACGGTATAGCATTGTTAAATATATATAATGAATTTTTAGAATATAATTTTTTGTTGTTATAATTTATATAATTAATTGTTTGAATGTTTAAATGAAAAAAGCATGATATATATATACATATATATATATTAAAAAAAATTAAATAATTTATCTAAGATTTTTTTGAAAAATAATTATAAGAAAAGTTTTTAGTTAAGAATCCATGAATTTTTTGAATTTTCTCATAAGTTTTTAGTTAAGAATTTAGATATAAAAGAATAAATCGTATTCTTTTTTGCAAAACAAATTATGAAAAATTTAATAAATAATTAGTTAAACATAAAATTTAAAAATAATTCTATATATTTTAATAAATTCATAATATAATAACTATTATCAAACTAAAATTATTTTTTAAAATAATTTTATATTTTATGTCACAACGTAGCCCAGTAAAAATCTAGTACGGTACTAAACAAAGTGTCCCAATCGAAGTAAGAATACTTGCATCTCAGTACTAGAGTACCCCCTTTTGTTTTTTCCGCAAAACTTTACCTGCTTTTCCGTAAAACTCATAAAACTGGTTTCCCTTTTTGAATCGTTAACAATCTCCACGATTCTATGAAACCTCAATCTCTCTCTTCTCAATCCAATTAGCAGAACTCACTATCAATTTCAAGGGTAAAAACTCTCTCCCTAACTCACGAAAGTTCAAACTTTTATGTTACTTTTTGAATTTTCTAGGCTCTAACTAAGATTTAAGTATGTTCTCGATAACCAAAAAAAAAATTAGCAAGTGTGATTTCCATCTGTTTTTAATTCTGGGTTTTCTAATTTTTTTTTCATCAATTATGTTTTCTGTATAGTTGTTGTGTATATAGTAAAAGGAATAAACTTTTCCATCTCTTTGATATGTTTAGTGTTGTTTTGGCACTCCTTAATGTGGAATCTGTTGTCTTTCTGAGACTTTGATTGTCCTATGTTGGTGATCACCATGAAATATTGATAATTTAGACACAAATTCAGAAACCCTTTATTGTTTTTCAGAGAAAGATGTCATTTCTGAAGCAAATTTTGGGCGATATGAAGAATGAAGTTTCAGGATTAATGATGTATAGCTGCTGTCCTTCTTTTTCAGGTTTGAAGTCATATTTACAGTCATTGGCTTTAGCGCATTAATCTGGAGACAAGTTTGAGTGTAGCAAGGGACTGAAATTGGCTCTCTTTGATTTGACAAATATGACAGAAATTTTTGGATATACTGCTTGCAGACAGTTATCCCAGATGTTTTTAGCAATTTTCGTTTTTCATGGTTCTGAATATGTTTTAGCGGCTGCTATTCATGGGCGATCAAGTGTTAATCTTAGTTCACTTTTGATCAGCAAAGCTTATGTGTTTGCAATGATGTTTTCATTGCTCGAGTATGTTGTTGAAATTGCTTTATTTCCTGGGTTGAAGGAATATTGGTGGATAAGCAATTTAGGTCTTGTGATGGTTATTATTGGGGAGGTTATTCGGAAACTAGCAATTATAACAGCTGGGCGAGCGTTCACGCATCTGATTAAGGTTTATCATGAGGAGCACCATGATTTGATTACCCATGGAGTCTATAGGTTTGTTCGCCATCCATCATATACTGGTTTCTTAATCTGGTCAGTTGGCACTCAGATAATGTTATGTAATCCCATATCGACAATTGGATTTGCAATTGTTGTCTGGCGCTTCTTTGCTCAGCGGATACCATATGAAGAGTTTTTTTTGAGGCAGTTTTTTGGCTTGGAGTACAAGGTCTATGCTTCGCAAACTCCTTCTGGGGTTCCATTTGTGAAGTGAAGATCTCATGTAGTCTCCTCACAGAGTTGAACTCATATGTTGCACTCATCCTGCTTCATGGAAAAAGCTTCAGAAAAGTTTCAGTGATGCTTTGTTGAAGAGCTTTGGAAATTATTTGAAGCTGAACTGATCCACCCCAGTGAGGTTAGATTGTCATTACTACATCAGGTGGTAAAGCTGACGCTGGTTTCTTGTAGAGTGGGACAGTTTTTGTTTGTTGAACATCTTTTTGATCCTCAACGAGACTGTAAGTCTGTAATTTTGCGTATGCCTTGTTTAATGAAATTCTTATTTATATGCACATTTGAAAATCTCCACTTACTGTCATTTATATCATAGGATTTGATTACAATGTTAAAGAACAATCTCATACATGGTCTGCTAGTTGGAAATAGGATAGTCGCTCATATTTATTAAATGATCCACAATCTTCCCCGACCTCTCCCTGGTCCACTGTCTTAACCCCGGTAATACCTAACTTGATCATGGCTGTGATAAAATGACAGTAAAATACCTCTTGATCTTTGACCATTATATTCAGATGAACCTGAGTTCTTGGGTCCAAAGCCGATTCCTGATCTGTTGTTAGCAAGCCAAAGCCCCTCTGAAGATTACGGTAATAGGCATTGTCTTGGATCATTCTGTGCAAGGACAGTTGGATCAAAATTCTTTTCAGGACATGTTTCACGGAATTTTTTTACTATAGTTTTGTTCCATGGTTGGGTCTATGTCAAATGACTTGTTGAAGCCAGAAATTCTGCACAAGAAATCCTTGCAGTGAGAGGTGCCGACAGAGTGAGCTCCTGATAAGGCCAACATGTCAAGGATAGATAACCCTTTGGAGTTGAAGAGAGAGATTACTTGAGAGAGAGCGTCATTCTCCCCAGGAATGTTGCCGGCCACTCTTGAAGCCTCATAGGCAAGACCATATCTTATTGCCTTTTGCACTTCAAACCTTGGGCCTCCCAGCTGAGTAGCACATGCATATCAAGTTAGGATTGTGTACAAACTAAGAATGAAAGAATCTGCGGAGGGGGTAAATGTCTTATCGTAGTTTTACCATTGTAACCGTATCTCTCGCGACAATTGCCATGACATCTGCACAAGAACCACTCTTGGACAATGTGATTCAACAGCTGTCTTGGCTCTAAAGAACATGTCAAAACCGATTCCAGATAATGACAGGTTTGTTTCTGCATCTCTTTCTACTTTTAGGTTGTGGCTTGACGCTATGAGCAGTGATGCATCACAACCCTCCGTGAAAAACCCTAAGATAGTGTTAATAGCAGTCTTGAAATTTATCCAAGATTGAAACTAGTAAGCTGGAAGGAAACAGAATAGACTACTATTCCATGAATACAAAAGCAGGAATTAAAGGGGTCTAACCTCAGCAAAGCAGTCACGGGAGAAGATTCTTAGAGCACCAGCAGCAGACTCAGGAGCTTCTGAAAACTTGTCAGCAACTGCTTTAAAGATGATCCGTTCAACATTCGGGCAAGTTTCAGCGTAAAAATCATAGCTTAGACCACCCTTTGTATTGTATGTGGAGGCCAAGGCAAACCTGGGGCTGGTAAAGAAATTGAAGAAGAAGAAGACGATGATGTTTAAAGCCAGAACAAGAAAAAACAAGACTTTAGCCATAGAGACTTGAAGGGTGAGAAGATCGTGCAACTACTCTTCACTGTACATTTTTTTGACATTAGCAGAAAGTCGGACACTGAAGAACTGATTTCCGTGTAATTAGAACTCACAAACTTGCCTCTCTTTTCCGCATTACTAACCATCACAATTCTACTTCCCTTTTCTGGGTTCTTTCTTTTGGCTTAATGCAATTTACTCTCTTATGTCATGAGGTGCGGAAAAGGACTTGGCTTTTTTGGTCTTTTGGTGGTTGAATACATAAGAACTTGACAAGGTAGGTTTTTGAGGGATGAAATAGAGTGTGGTATCTTTAACCAAAATGGGCAACTTAAGTGATAGTTTATTCCAATGTCACCCAAATGAGCTCACTTTTATCACGCAAAAATAAAGATGGTAAGTAGTTGGTCACTAAATAAAAAAATTTGGACTGTTTAACTGTTGGAGTAGGAAAACGTCTGCAAAGCATGGAGGGTACAACACCAACCATCAAAGGTGGTTCATGTGATAAAAATAGTCATGTTCCAAAAACTAGTTGGAAAATACTTCAATGCCTGGTTATGGAAAATTGTTGCGTTAAAAAAAGGATAAATCGCCCACCGTGGGGCTCGAACCCACGACCACAAGGTTAAGAGCCTTGCGCTCTACCAACTGAGCTAGACGGGCTTCTTGTTACCTAAGTCCATTTCTTATATTTGAATATTAAGTAAGACGACGGCCAGCTAAAGCCTACTGACGCGTCAGTCCAATGAAATAGCTGCAGGCTGCCCAATTGGATGCCAAATAAGACAACTTTGCGCTGTAAGTTTACCTTGGGATGAGATGCTCTCAATCGGATCTATTTTCAGACAATACATGGATGAAGACATCAAGTGATTTGTCTCTTACACAAAATTTTCTTTTCGAAATTAATGCATGTATGCTATAGCATTCAAATAAAGTTTAACTAATCAATTATCATTCGATGAAGCATTGTCTAAGAATTTGTAATGGAGATTGGAATTTGCATTAAAATAACAACAACGTTCACCATACAAAGAAGATATCCCAACATCTCAGAATAAAAAAGATCAATGAGTCCTTTAATTAACCGTTGAAGGAGTCACAATGTCTTCTAATCTCACCATCACTCCCTGTCTTGACTCCAATTTGGCCTAACTCTTTCATGGAAGCAACAAAGTAATTGAAAAAAATTTGCTGATCCCCAACCATCATATCCACATAACCTCGAGTTCATGGATCCAAAACCAGCATTTGCTCAGTTGCTAACAACCCAAAACCTTTTTTAAGGCTATGGTAATAAGCATTGTCAAAAATAATAAATGGGGTGGTTACATCATTAAGTGTAGCCACAGTTGCATCGAGGTGTTTCTTAGGACAAGGACCCCGAAGGGTTTGTGCATATTCTTGGTTCATTGTTGTAGCCGTAAATTCTTGGCATGAATTCGTTGCAATGTGAGAAACCTATGGTGTGTCCGCCTGATAAGGCCACCATGTCAAGGGTAGATAGACCTTTGGTTTACTTGAGGAAGGTTGCCATCCACCCTTGAAGCCTTGGAAATTAGCCCATCCCTTCTCCCCTTTTTGACCTCCCACCTAAAAACGACATGCATTGCAATATATAATCTCCATTGAAATTTCAATACTTGTGAATCACACAAATCATGTTGATTTAAAAATGTATCAAGGAAATTAATGGAATATTGGAAATATTTTTGAACTAAGATATGGAGAGTGAGGACAATTTTACCAAGTTAACTAACTCTCTAGTCGCAATGGCCATAACATCAGCACACGAGACACTGCCAGGGCATTGCAACTCCATAGCTCTCTTGGCTCGAAAGAAGACATCATAACCATCTCCTGGCAAAGAAAGGTTTATTTCTGCATCCCTCTCTGCCTTATTGCGCTCTCTTGATGCTATTAATACTGATGCATCAAATCCCTTCAAAAGATGAAAAAAGAGAAAACTTTCAGTAAAATGACTCTGATTTTTATGTACATTGTAATTGCACTTTCACTACCTCAACAAAACGGCCATGGAAGAAGATGCGAAGAGCACCAGCAGCAGTGACAGGAGCTTAATTCTAAAAGCTTTTGAGAAACCACATTGTGGATAATTTTCTCTACATTGGGACAAATCTCGTTGTAGAAATAATAGCTAAGGCCTAGTGCATTTGGTCCTCTAGCAGTGAAAGGAACCAAGACCAAAAACAAAAAATGGGTAGCAAAAAAGAAGAGACAATTGAACTCTATCCATGAAGAATTAATTGATCACTAATGAAGAACATTAATTATGCTTCTCTTGAGGAATTCATACTATAGAGTGGCCTTGTCAAATTGAGTCTCTAGATTCTGATAGAGTACTATTGTTTATTACATCAATGATGCAGTAGATATGGCTGTTTTTAGCAGTAGAATCCAAATAGAGAAGGATGGTTGAGACAGCAAGAAAAGCCAAGATATCCCATCTTTGGTTTTGTTTCTGTAGTACTCTCAAGAAAACCAGTGATAAAGAGTTGGCTTCTCTTTCTGGTTTTGGTGCTCCTTCCCATTAAAAATATGAATTCCTAGTCCATGTTATGTACTTCCTAATTGGTACTACTGACAACCAATTCCAAACTATAATATGATCACTGCAATAAAGAGAGATCAATGAGTTGGTTGGCTTTATAACTTTCTGTAGTTTCTACCACTACCATCAACTTTAATTTCTTGGTTTTAACAAGTCAAGGAATATATATGGGTACAACTTTTGAGTCATGCATTATCCATCTTATCTTCGGGCATTTCTTAGCAAGATTTTATCATTTACGTCATTGCAAGATTGTAAGTAACAATTATGAGAAATAGAATACTACTAATGTTTGTTATGATATAGATTGTTGATAGCATATATATGGTTCCATCCTGTCTTAAAAAAAAAGGTGAAAGGCTTCAGAATAAGGGTTTGCTTTTTCATCACGTGATCAAGGGTTCTTTTTTTGGGATGTGGACAAGGCTGGATCACATGTGAACTAACAACAGGAAACATTATGGATTTTGCACCTATTGATGAAGCTGGCATTTCCAGATAGAGATGATCATGGAAAATATCAGAAAAAAAAAACCGAACCTGATAGCTTTCTTACAAGAATTGTCATTCGATATGTACCGTTTGATAGCCCCCATGCCTCTCGGGTTGTGGCCAGTGCCCGGTACCTCTTTATTGTTTAAGTTAGCTCCAAAACCTTCCAAGCTGAACCTATTTCAAGCCCCAAGTCCCGGCTTTGTAAGATAAAATAGCGATGCAATATCCACAGCAATATGTTAAGATGACGTTAGTTTTTAATTGATGACATTGTCTGAAAAGGGCTTTAGGTTTTTTGCACCAGATAGTTGTATTAACCACTGCCCACGAAAACTGTCATAAATCTACGATTCCAGTTTTATAAGATAAAGCAGCTATGCACTTGTTTTTTATTTTATTTATTTATTTTTTTTAAAGAAATTATCCATAAGAACTGACACTAATATGAGTAGTTGATCACTTGATTATATTTGCAAACATGTAATGTGATCTGCAATGTGCTAGTGGACCATGTGATGGTGTAATCCATTACAAGAAACCTTTAATCTAAACCTAACTTTCTACTGTCAGAAACAGGGGACCCTGAAATTAGCTTTTGACAGTCTCCGAAAGAGGTACGATAGAAAAGCCCATGACCCATCTATAGTTTCTTCTTTCTTCATTATTGGAAAGCTTTCGGAAACAAAGAGGCTACTCAGAAGACCTAATGGCAAATGCTAAAAGGGCGGTTCCTCTCTATTGAGTCAAGACCTTTTTAATAATTGAAGATGGTTTGGTCTACCATACATACCTTCTTTTTTAATATCCACTTTACTGCTATGTGAGCTACAAACACATGGGGCATTATGCTTGCACCTTTTGCCTTTTGGATTCTTGATATTACTCTTCCTACTCCTTGCCTTTTGGATATAATTTTTGCCTGTAATGTGATTGTGGTCCAATTAGTTATCAAAATTGGCCACTGGAGTTGTTAACATCAAGTTATGATGCTTCAATTACAATCGAGATAGTTGCAACCAAACTCATTCCTTTTTTGTCATCATAGTCTTTTTTTTTTTTTTTTTTTTTTGGATAAAGATCTAATTGATATTATTTCTTATAACATACATATGGGAAACAATTTCTTAGAGTAGTTATTGTCAGAGAGTCATATTCCTAAAACCTCATCTAATAGTTTAAATTTCTAAATTAAGATAATCACTTAATATGATATTAAAACCTTATTTACTAAGTAATCATTCTTTTTTAATTAATTAAGCATGAACTAGTACGAGTGCGAGTCCGTGCAAATTTCAACTATTTAAGGAGAGTTATATAATATCATTTTTTGAGTACTTTGAAAACTATGTGGAAAATAATTCCATCATTTTATGTTAATTCTCTAGATCTAGGCACCTTTAACGTTGATAGATAGCCTACCGCCATTTCTTTTAGGAAGGGAAAAACGTTTGACATATTCCCTGAATTATTAGTTGGGTTTCCAAAAAGAAAGAAAGAAAGTTGGAATGGCCGCCATATACAAGTTGCAAGGAAAGCTTTGAGTTTTGGGGACTATGATGTGTAGCTTGTATATATCATATATGAGTTGTCTATAATTAATGATTGATTAATTATAATAAGATTAAGCAAATAATTTGAACTCGTGAATATTCTCTTAAGATTATGTTTATAAAAGTTTGCATGAAGATGCGATAATAGTGTTTCACTGTTCCTCCTCATGCTATGAATGATTTGTCTCATTGCTTTCAATGCTAAAGATAATCCATACCGGATTTGCAAGATTAAAAGAAAAATGGTGGTCTATCACACTTTTTAGACAGTGCATGTTATGTGATGTCACACCCACACCCACCTAGAAAGATAATTAAACTTCATCAAATTTAGATGTTGAGGCACTTGCCATTCCTTAAATTAATCATACAAATAAAATCTATCAAATCATTCCACTTGCCATAAACTCTTGTATGTATTTCATTCCTTTGAATATTCCCAGCTGTTATCTGTATGCTCCAAAAATGAGGTCCATTGTTTAGGTTACCTACAACAAATGATAGGAAACCCTTTATTTAAATAAGAATTGGACTGAAATGTTAAAAATTGTAATAGGTAAATAATCTATTTAAGATACAATTGAAAAAATAAATTAGTCTCGTTATATGAAAGCTAATCATTAACCAAAAAAAAATAAAAGTTCATATATAGTACATAAATAATTTATTTAGAATGTGATTAAAAAGAGATTAGTAGTGTTGCATGAAAACTAGTCCGAGAATATGATCATAATCATTCAAAAACTAAAAGCTTTATAAGTGAATAATCTATTTAAGATCTTATTATAAAGAGATTGATCTTGATATATAAAAATTGGTTCGAAAATGTTATGATTTTTAAAGGAAAAAAAAAAACCTTAAAAAATAATTCATTCAATTTTAAAAGAAGAAATTAATTGCACTGAAAACCTTGAAAATAGAAAAACGAACATGATCCACACATATGAATTTGAATTTTCTGATTCTTCATTATAAATATCTGTAGAAGTCTATGAACCCCACATATGATCTTTAAGATATAAAGTCAACATGAACAAAATAATGTTGCTTTGGACATAGGAAGGACAGGACAATTCAATGCCAAAAGAATTTTGCTGCTGAGAAGTACTGCACAGAAATTTTGTGAACAGATCAAGCGCTTCTCGTCATTGATTCAATCAAAATTTCATAGTGGTATATTGTGGATCTTCCATGCACGCATGTGGTTAGATTTGTGTTTTCCTCTGGAGGGTCCACTCTGTTTGATCGTGTAAGCCAAGAGTTTGCTAATAGACAAAGGAGGAAGAAGAAGAGTTTTTCTATTCTAATAAATAGTGCACAAATTATTCATCAAAAAAGAAATGTTCATAAAATTAATCTACGTTTGCTTTCACACAGACGTGGTCTCCTTTCATTCTATAAGTGAATTCATATATATATATATATATATATATATATAAACACACATTACGAAATGTGTACATCTTTTTGAAGCACCACAACTAATCATCCACTGCTTGAATTTTTTTTAAATATAATTATATTCATTCTAAATGAATAATTATAACAGTTTTCCTTTCACTTTTTTTTATTTTTTTATTTTTTTTTCCTACGCCAAGATAGTAACCATACGTTAATTTGCTTGCATTAAGAAATTAAAACTATATATAGATGCTATTATTTGTTATTAGAGCCATTTAGATCGTTTGGTCTTAACTAACTAATTATTCCAATAAATGCAAATTAATATGCTTACATGGAATGGGTAAATTTTGGACTAAAATCTGTGAGCATGACCTAAGAATTTTTATTTTATTTTTTTAAGATCCATGATATCTTTAGCTTCTTTTCACATACTTATTTTGCATTCCTTTGTAATTGAGTTTTTAATTAAAAATTTAATTATTTTGCTTTTAATAATATTTGAAACAAATTAATTGTTGATATGAGAATACTCTTAATTTGGGAGGAAAAAAAATTGAAACAAACTTTGATGCTATTAATGGAAACGTAAATGGTCAATGCCTACGTAAATGCATTGATTCTACGTAAATGCATTGATTCTTGTATCAATTCTTGCTCAAACTCGCATATGATATGTGCATATAAACCTTAAACTAAGGATGAAATTGAAAATAATGATTAACTATAAGATATTAGTCTCATTGGTAAGTAAGTGTCGATTTATAAGTCAAATTTATAATTCAATTCTTGCAGTCAACACCTCTAAAAATTATTCTCGAAACCGTACATTAAGGAGTGCGTTTTAACCAAGTCAATTGAGAAATTAGTGTCGAGATATATGAAAATTGACTCGAAACACCTTTATTATTGAACCTAAAAAGAAATTGAAAATGATGGTCTTCTTTTGGTTGGTGTTTCTCAAGGGATCGGAGCAGAATTGGAAATGATGGCATTGTCGTGGTAGTATATCAACCTTCGATACTCATCTCTCTATTAATTTCTAATAAATTTTTCAATTGCTTGAATTTTTTTGTGGAGTTCAAATATGTCATGAAAATGTTAATTGATACACATAAGATTTCATGATTTTTAATTCAATCAAATAGAGACCCTACAATACCATGGATGTTTGGTTGTAGAATTTAATCGAGTAATTATAATTAAAAAAAATCAAAATCAAATCGGTTCAAGCTACATTAGTCAACTAGGAAATATTATTAACGAAGGAATATGTTACAAAATTGTCATCTATGAATTGTTCCAAGCCAAGTGAGTGTATAAATTCTATGATAAAAGGCAACATTGATAGCCTTCCATAGTCTCTCTATATTGAATATGTGTAAAAAAAAAAAAAAAACCTACTACTACTATAAAAATGGTAATCCAAAATGGAAACTCAATACTAAGAAAGAGGAAATGGATAAATCTTTGGTCCAACCCTCTTCTTTAAATGATTCAATTCTTTAAAATGATGTGGACCCATATGTCAAGAATTTCACCGCAAAATCTCAAAAAAACAAAAAAAGATTTAAAACGATGTGAACTCATATGTTGCGAGTTGTCATTACCCAATGTTTAAAGGATTGCCAAAAATATTCTAATAAAAAATTTATTTATTTGTTTATTTATTAGGATGTGAGTTAAACTACGTTTTTAGAATCGTCACCTAGTATTAAAAGAATTAGAAAACCTAAAATTAACACTAGCTCAAGACTTCTAAGGTAAAGAGTTGGTTATTCTTTTAGAAAGATATAAATCACCTAAATGCACTATTTCCCGATAAAAATGCCATATCTAGTTTAATCCTAAAGTTTATCTCTTAAAAACTCTATTATTTGCCAAAATTATTCTTAAGTTAAAATTCCAAGTTTTATTCTAAACCAATTTTTTAAAAAATTTTTGTTTGTGGCATCATATTGAATCAATTGTCGGATCCTATCACTTGGGAGTATCGTCAATTCAAAATTGGATCTAGTTTAAGTCTCAACATAACTACTATGTGAGAAAAATACCTAATTATTAAAATATGATTGATTTAAATTAATATCAGTCCTTATTAGATATGACACTTGTTAATTTTTATCTAATATTTCTCTATATTTTTTTTTTACTTTTCCTTTTTTTTTCTTCTTTTCTTTTCATGTCTTTTTTTATCATTTTTTTTCTATTGTTTTGTTTTTATCCTTTTCCTTTCATTTTTTATTTTTTTAAGTTGATGGAGAAATGTCATTAGTCTCTAAAAAATAAGAAACTCAACGATTCTTCCACCCATTAATTACCTAATTTAACTAAGGATAATTCAAGCCATATTTAAAAATAAAAATCTAAAAATTAAATTAATAAACCCTACACATTTATAAGAGTCTAGAATTTAACTAAAAATTTTATATTTAATTAATATTAAATATTAAACTAGAAATGAAATTTCATTATTGAAAGAAATTAAAAGCTAAGCATTAAACTAAATAAATTGAAATAAATAGGCAAAAGAATCTAAAAATTCTAAAAGATTAAATCTAGACCAAGCATGAAAATAAGAGGCTTGCATAAAAATTTTAGACTTAATTTACTGAGGGAATTAGTTAAAAAAATGAAAGTTAAAAAATAGAGGTTATTTAGCCTTTGGGCTCGAGTGGGCCGGACTCATTGGCCAAGCAAGGTTCTCTCCTCTCGAGCTTCGGCTGAGCTAAACCTAACCCATTCTCCTAGTCTCATAGGCTAGGCCAAGGCTAGCCCATTCATGCCTCTACACCCAACCATTTGATCCTTTAATTGTTTCACCCAAACCAACCTCAAAAGACCAAAACAAACAAAAACTCAAGCATTGGTTGAACTTCAACAAAAATGGGTCAAGGATGGGGTTGCATGGTGATAGTGGCTATATCACTCGTCACTTTTTGTTTTTTGTTTTTTTTTTTGGTTTTTTTTAAGTTAAAAAGGATAGGAAAAAAAGGAAATTAGTTTGAATGAAGTAGGGTTGCTTGAAATGTTCAATTGAAGAGGCCGACAATGGATAATTTGGTTCTTCTTCTTCTCTGTTTAGATGTGATCCTTTTCTACTAGTGGTTTCTCAATTGAAACCTAGAAATCCCTAGAATTTGGCTTTGTCTCTCTACATAATTACTCTTTGCTTTTTTTTTTCTCTCTAAATTCTCTCTAAAATTTCATAATTTTTTTTTTTTTGCTTCTCTCAATTGCTCTCTCCGAAATTTCCCACAATGGTTATTTCTTCCTTCTTGCTTTTGAATTCTCTCCAACATTTCCCATATTTGCTCTCCTTCAATGTCCCTTCTCTTTGAAACCCTAATTCAAGCCATGTTTATACCTAAAGCTCTTTTTGCTTACTCTTAGGATCAATTCCCTTAAACCCTAAACTTTTTCACAATCGACAATACTCCTAGAAATTCCATAAAATCGAAGGCATTTCCAAGTTCATTGGAACTCATATTTTTGTTGGGATGAGTGTAGCTTGTTGTTTCCTAAGTAAAGTACTCGCAATGATATCTTATATACCTTATATATCAATTTCAAATAATATTAATTGAGATCATGTGATAATGATGGGTATTTATTGAATCATAGAAAATAGAGGGATAAAAAAATGTAATACACATGTTTGGCTTGAATTTCATCTTTTATTTTATAGAGAAGAAGAATAACACATCTCAAGTATAGTATTTCTTCATTACATCCGAGTTTATAGGCTTAGCTATACTATCTCCATCCATATTAGCTAAAAGGAAAGCTCTTCTTGAGAATACTTTTCCGACTACCTAAGGACTTTCATAATTAGGTGAGCACTTATTTTTATCTTTTCTAGATATTAGTAGAATCTTTCCGAACATCATATCTCCTTCTTGAAATTATTTTGGTCAGATTTTTTTTATCATAAGCCTTACTTATCCTTTTCTAACGTATTTGTGCATAGTAGATAGCAATTAGTCTCTTTTTATTGATAATGTTCAACTACTCATACTTAATTCTAGCCCACTCGGCCTTTTCTAATTGAGTTTCCATAAGCACTTTAAGAGAAGGAACCTCTACTTCCAAATGCTTCACTACCTTTATCCCACAAACCATGGATTATGAGGTGGCTTATATAGATGTTCTTATAGTTGTAAGGTATACATGTAGAAGATATGAAAGTACTTCATATCGGTCCCAATATGTAACCATCATTTTTTACATAATCTTTTTCATGTTCTTATTCACTTCTTCAACTACATCATTCATTTTGGACTTGTATGGTGTCAAGTTCGGATGCTTGATTTTCCATCATTTGTATAGTTTTATAATCATCTTTTCATTGAAGTCCTAAGTATTATCAATGATCATGATTCTCGATAAATTGTATTAATAAACCAAGTTCGTTTCTATAAACTAGTGGATGACTTTTTAAGTGACGTGAGCATAAAAGGTAGGTTCGACCCTTATGAACATCAATTGGATAAAAATTTAAAATCTTTTTATGCAACTTCTAATCATTGTCAATAAAATGAACTATTAAACACATATAATTAATTCTTTGAATAGATGTTCATGTGTCTATAGTGAAACAAACTCTTTGATAATTATTTTTCAAGAATTACTTCAACTTTAATTTCTCATGCATATAAAGTTGATAGCAATATCTTGAAATGGTAATCCATGATGGAATTTTAATTCTATTTTGTGTAATTGACATGAACCATTTAAACCCCACATTCTCTACAAATTTGAAAGGAAGTTTATCCATGACAATCATGTAAGCTAAAGCATTTCTAATGCAATTTTGATCAAACTTTCATGTGCTAAGAGTGTTTTCTCCCTCTTGAACACTTGAATTTCATTGAAGGTTTAATTTCGTTTAGGTAGGGTCAAGCATATATGGGTGTTTTTTGCATATGGTCATATGATATTTAAGTATAATAGTGTTGTTTCTAATAGGATGAGCAGTAAATATCTTATCACGAGTAATTACATCTCCTCTTGATTTCTTTATTTTCATCTTCAAACTTGGTGAAATGGTCCTATGCAACTAACCTTGGCCTCGTTACTTTTCTTTTCATCTTTGTGTTCAATTATGTGTTTGATGAAAAGCCAGCAATTGTATCTACTGCTGGTTCTAGATGGGTTGAACTTATAACTTCAGTAACGACATCCGAAGATCCTAACATCTATGCAAATTCATGAATATATTTGATTAGAAATCATTAGTAAATGCAAGCCTATATTAAGAAAATAAGTTCTTTATATATTTGATGTATGATTTCCTATCACTCGTGAATATGTGATCACTATTCAGGTGATAGATGACCTTAGAACTTAGAACTTAGAAGGGACAATTATGGCTACTAGCCGATGAACATTGGCTAATTGGTAATAGCCATTGGTAGTGCCCACTAGGTAGTGATCTATTGTGCATTTGTGCTACATGGGTAGATGACATTAAAACTTAAAACTTAAAAGGAGTAATTATGGCCACCGGCCAATGGATAGTGGTCGCTGAGTAGTGATCTATTATGCATTTATGTTACAACCAACTACAATATAATTTAACAAAGTACAAAAAAGTAAGCAATAAAATAAAAACAACAGACCTCATGATTATCGCTATCAAGTTTTCATTGAACATTGTAGATTACACTCATAAATCTCACATTATCGAAATATAAGAAATGACTCATAATCCATACCTTTTTTTCTTACTACATATTATTGTAGCGCAGAGATATAACACCAAAAATAAAATTTTTGCCTAAACACTAAACAATAAACACCGATATTCGAAGTCGGAGGAGCATACTATTGCCCCTCCGACATACTACTAGTCTGCTATAAGTCTATAAACCATTTAAGCAAGCACAATAATCCAGCTAACCTTAACTTTAAGCAATGTTCTATATATGTCCAGATTTAGTTATCAAATAAGCATTATTGTATATAGTTATCAAACAATTATTGTTGTATATAGTTATCAAATCGGGGCAAGTTCCAAAAAACCAAAATCGAGTTCGAGTTTAGTTTATAATTGAATACTACAAACTCTTAATTTAGTTAAATCTAATTAATATGATTGAATTCCAATTAACATAATTGATCCAAACCAAGTAAAAAAAAGAAAGAAAAAGAATTTAACTCTTT